TTGGTTTGTCCTGCGGAAGTTCCGGTGATTTGTCTGAGTATAAGAATGCTCCTTTATTTATAACAGCAAGCGCATGTATTTGACCACTGGAATTTCAAACTGGGACAAAATGATTAGCGCAAAGATTCAGTGGAGTGATTTGCAACGCTGTGTTAGGGATTTGCGAAGAAAAATGTATTCTGAAATCTTATAGATGAGACCGTCTACGGATAAGTCGCTCAAAACTATAAGCAGAAGCTGGCTCTGCATTATTCAAAAGGTCTTCTTTGAAGGGCTTTTTCGAAGTACATCTGAAAAACTGACGATGAACCTCTTCGCACAAAAAGGACTGGAAAAGGGCAACTCTTCTTCTACACCTATGAAGCACTGATGCGAAGATCAAAAGCAAAAATCAGACAAAGAAATTTGCTTAACAATTTTTGAACAATGAAAACCCTTCAAGAACTTTCCCTTCAATGAAGGAAGAAGCCCTATTTGCTTGCAGCTCCTGAAACTGTATAATTTGAAGCTTTTGAAAAAAATCCAATCACAAAAAGCGGACTTATCCACAAGCTTACACAGGCATATTCTCAGCATTTTCACGAAAAAAAAAGTGTTAGGGTGGTAGTGGAAAACAGAGAATCCAAAACTATGGAGGGTACTTGAAAAAACCTTAATAATTACGGTATTTGTAAGGCACTGTTCTTCCAATCTTCACAACTTAAACACCAAGAAACGTACCCGAATCTTTGTACTTCAATACGATAGCTTCAGCAGATCCAATTTTGAAGATCCTTTGAATCATAAGCGTAAGGTCGTTAAGCGTGAGATCGTTCGCATGATGTAGCATCGACTTTCGTACATCGCTTCCAAAGCGTGCCTTGAGGATCGTCATCGCAACCTGTTGACCGTTGTTTGTTGCTACCATCTAATAGCTCTAACCTAGACAAGAGGAATACGTACGGACAAAGGACGAGAAACAGAATAAAAAAGGGAAAAGGTGAAAAAAGGGTTTTCCTGGAATTTTGAGCAAAAATAATGTAAGTTGAAGTTCTCAAAAAGGACAAAGTTCCAATTCTGGATGAGAAGGGTCTCCAAGAAATGGGACGAAAGGACACGTCATTGAAACAGCGTAAGGAATAAAAATCC